GGGCCATTTTCTCAGTCTTCATGGTGGATTTTTCTAGGTCAGCCATTTTCTCTTCTACATTAGAGATTCTATTTAGATGGCATGATCACAGGAGCCATGGAGCTGTCTGTCTCTTGAAGCTGTTTTCTTACTTTGAAGGGAAGCTTTTTGATTAGATCACCTTGAACATCCATCCAGTCCTGAAATTCCATGATTGTTGGAGTAAATAACTTACATAGCAAATATTGCCTGGTTCCTGGATGTCCATATGAATTCATCTATCCATAGCCAAAGTACATTTCTGAAGATGATAAAAGTTAACCTCAACTGCCACAATCAAAAAGAGTAGTCTGGGGAAATACAGTAAGAGGCAGACTACTCCTATGTGCCTCCAGAATTTTGGAGGACATCATTGTGGCAGGAAATAATTTCTATCTATAAAGGCAATGCTGAATTAGTTCCAAAAAGATCAGATACAGCCCTGCAGCTGTATCCTTAGGTAAAGGCAAGAGCCCTTGTATTTTCTCAGGTCTGTGGCTTCTGGGAGATGTGTTGTGCAGGCAGCTCTCCCTCCCAGCATGCAGGGCTCCTTGCTCTACCTTCCTAACACTGCTGAGCACCTGCTGTGTGCTAGGCATGTCGGTGAGCTGTGAGACTACTGGACACAGCCTCTATTCTCAAGGAGCTGACAATCTACTGGATCAAGCATTTTAACCATGGGCAATACTTTCATATTTCCAGTATAGTCCTGTGTGGTGCTTACATTGTTTATATAATGTCTGTCTATTATTCCGTGAAAACATAGCTGTTTGTGTATTCCGCTTTGGCTTGTTTTTCCACCCTCGGTCCTCCAGCAGCTTCTGGATGTTAAATATTATCTCTTCATGTGAGTTGCACCAGAAGGAAGAGTCATCTGTTACTCTGTTACTTCCTTAATGAGCCCTTAAGCTGGTTTGCAGGGCAGCTCTTGATCCTTTTTTTTACTTCCCAAAGGACTGATCTGTTTCAATTTTGCTGCTGGGTCTTATTGTCACCTAGTACTCAAATTTTATTCTTCTTGACCCTCCTTTCCACCTCCAAACCCTTCTCTCCACACCAATAACCAGAAACAATAACCCAAACTAGACAGTATGGTGGGGCAGTAGCATGTTGATGGACAGGCTATATATTTCTTTTGCTACTATAGCAACTGCCACTAAATGCCTGTCACTTACCTTCCATGCTCTTTGGAAATGTGAAAGTTATTTTGCATGTAAGTGCTTAAATCACGTCAATTACCTAAAATACTTTCATTTCTCTCCAAGATTCTTCTTAAAGGGACTTTTACTATTTTCTTCACATATTTTTATAAATGTGGACTACAGTTTTGATAGATAGCTCCAAGCTTGCTGATTTTTGTCTTCGCTAAGAATGACAGGGATGTTATAAAAATCCTAATACAAAAACATTTCCACAAACTATTTCATTAAAAATAAAAAACGAGGGGCTAGCAGGTGGCATGGTGGCTAGGGTTGCTGGACTCCCACATGGTCGACTGCAGTTCAAGCCCCAGACCTGGCAGTTTGCTTTCTCACTTTCCCTTTCTCTTTCTTTCTCTTTCACATTCTGTCTTTCTCTGGTCAGTCAAGTTAAAATAAATAAACAAATAAATATTCAATAAAATAATTCTTTTTAAAAAAGGAGATTAAAGATACTTCTAATAATCTAGAAAACTGATGCTAGATAACTGAGTGGTAATTCAACAACTCATCAGATAAGCATCTATTACACACCTGAAGTTGGTGAGAATTGTGCAAAGTACTGAAAACATAAAGAAGATTAAGAAATAATTGCTGTTTTCAAGGAGACCCACTGAAAGATATTTGCTTTCAAGGCCAGCAGGTGGTGTCATAGTTGGACTCCTATAGGGCAGATGATGGTTCATGGCTTGAAACTTACGCCAGGGCATATGTGTGTGCCCAAAATCCCAAGAAGAGAATGGAGAAGAAGGGATCGTGGCCTGGCCATCCCTTCCGGGGGGTGATTTCTCACCTTCCCTTTCTCTGTCTCTCCAGGGAGCACATGTACCCTATAGCAGAAATCTCTCTCTCAAAAAAAATTTTTTTTGCTTTCTATTTTTCATGAATATTTAATATTTTACACAAGTAACAATTTTTTAAAGAATTATTTTTATTTAACTTTATTCATTTACTTATTTATTTATTTTAATTTGACCAGAGAGGGATATAGAGAGAGAAAGTGAGAAAGCAAACTGCCAGGTCTGGGACTCGAACCATAGTTGACCATATGGGAGTCTAGCACCCTTAACTACCATGCCACCTGCTGGCTCCCATGTAACAATTTATTTCATCCTCAGAACAACTAATTCCAGTTTTATACTTCACAAACTTGAGTTTTCTTGGTGCTCACTACTGTTTGGTAACCAGAAAGTTCATTTGACTATGTTGCCACTAGGATTTCTCTGTTGTCCCTGGTTTGATTTTCTGAATCTAATCATTAACAGTTTACAAAGTGTTTTCATGTCTCATTGGAAACACAAGTTTTATTTTATTTTATTTTATTATTATTTTGTTTTCCATCTTCTCATCTTCTAGTCATTGCTTCTCTTCACCAGGAGTGGGGGGGAGTGAGTACTACTGGGCTATCAGAAAAGTCATAATGTAGTTTTGTTTTTCTATGCAAAAATTTGTTCTACTTTTCTGATGATCCAATAAAATAACTTCTCAAATTTCTTGTGAGTGCTATAGTATTAAAATGGTGGCACCAGCAAATGGTAATGGTGACATCACTGGACTCACACGGAATCAACTACAGTTCAAGTCCCAGGCCTGGTGGCTTAAAACTCCTGCTGGGCACATGTGCGTTTGTGCCCGAAATCCTGAGAAGAGAATGGAAGAGAAGGGACTGTGGTGTGATCATCCCCCCGGGGGATGATTTCTCACTTTTTCAGTCTCTCTGGCAAGCACATGCATCTTACAGGAATACTCTCTCTTTAAAAATCATGGTAGTGACCTTTACTATACACCCAAGGTGGAGGCCTGGCTCTTGGATTCTTCTTGCATTGAAGCCTTTAAGTAATAATTTCTGAAACTCATTTCTACTTCGTTTTTGCTTTCTGTTTATTACATTCATAATCATGCCTTCTGGGTAATTTGTCATCTTGGAATACTGTTTCTGTCAAGAAAAAAAAAGAAACAGAACTTAGCAAGCTAGTGATTATCTTGCCCAGTGCACTCTATGGACTTAACTGAGGCCAAGAGACATTAAGGGTCAACGTCAAAGTCACACAGCTGGGCTTGAACCTGAAATGCTATACTCTTTGACCTGATGTATTTTTAGAGAGATTTTTTGCTATAGGGTTGTGTGCTCTTGCAGAGAGACAGAAGGTGAGAAATCACCCCCTCCTCCGTGAGATGACCATGCAGCAATCCCTTCTCCATTCTCCTCTTGGGATTTTGGGCATACATGCACATGTGCCTGGCATGAGTTTTAAGCTGCTGGGTACTCCAGTTGACTATGTGGGAGTCCAGTGATGTAACCATTATGCCATCTGCTGGTCCCTTGACCAAACTTTAGAAGAAAAGATACCATGTTGTCTTTAAAAGCTATGAAAGAAAATGTTCTTCCCAGGATAAACATGTGCTGCTCTTATGTTGATAGCCTATAAGTATTTAGTTACTGTTGCAGCAGAAGTCTACCCACTTTTTTTTTTTTTTGAGAGATTTTTCACTGTAGGGCGCGTGCGCTCGCCAGACAGAGAGAGACATAGAGACAGAAAGCGAGAAATCACCCCCCAGGGGGGATGGTCACGCCGCAATCCCTTCTCCTCCGTTCTCCTCTCAGGATCTTGGGCACGCACGCACACGCGCCCGGCGTGAGTTTCAAGTCACCGGGTCCGGGATGCGAACCGCGGTCGACTATGTGGGAGTCCAGCGACATAGCCATTATGCTAACTGCTGGTTCCCAAGTCTACCCACTTTTATAATATTTTTAGTTCTATCATGATGTTTCCAATTTTCCCAGAGTATGCCTATTCATATAGGAATCATGTCGTCATGACTCGGCATTTATTAAGCACCTACTTAGTGCCAGGAGTAACAGAGGCACAAGGAACATGAAAAACACCAGGTTTTGGCCTGACTTTAATTTGAAGTATTCTTTGAGTATGTGTAGGATTCATTCCATATAGATCAGCAGCAAACATATAGTTTTATTGTAAATGATTCTTTAAGTGTGAGAAAATCGTTAATAAGAATTGAACTTTAGCAAGGTGTTCCAATGTGGACATCGAAGCCTTAAATATTTAGGAGGAACCCAAATGCCCATTTACATGTTATTAGTGTCTTTTTGTGTATTTTTACCAGAAGACGCGTGAGTCATTTCCCCCGCCTTTCCTGATTTTGGGCACAGAGGCACGTGAGCCCTGCATGTTCCTGGAGCCCCAGGGTCCAGGACTTGAACTGTGCAACGGGCGATGGGGGACCTGGTCACCTTAACCACCACGGCACAATCTGGCTCTAAGCGTGGTTTTAAAATCTCCCGAATTTATTACAAAAATGCCAACAAAAATTAATCTCAGGTAACCTACTTCCTCCAATTCTTTTTTCTTTTCCTTTTTCCCTTCCAGCGGATTCCACGTCCAGGAAGGCCTAGGGAAGAAGCGGCTCCGACGCCCAGGCTCCGCGCCCTGGGTCTGGCCCAGGCGCACAAGCAGCGCGCACCGCGGTGGCCTCCGCTGCGGTCGCGCCAGTCGGTCCCGCGGGCCGCCCTTCCGCTCTCCCCGGGGCGGGGCCGGCGCTGGGCGGCTCCTCCAGCCACGCTCTGACCGTTCCCCGGAGACTTTCTCCCCAGTCATGGCGGCGGCGGCGGCTTGGAGACCGTGTCTCCCTCGGGCGTGGCTTTGCAGGTGCACCCCAGACTTCTCCCTGAGCTCCACAGGCAGCCCCGGGGTGCGCCCGGCGGGGCGGTCCAAGTCACCCGGCCCTTGTTCCATGTTGCAGGAGGGCCGGGCAGGGCTGCGGCCGGCACTACCGCGCCGCGCTCTGCGCCGAGCTGAAGAAGCCCCTGGCCATCGAGGATGTGGCCTCTCGCCCTGTCCGGCCTCAGGAGGTAGGGGACAGGCCTGTGCCCGGGACCTTTGACACCTCCGCTCCCCCACCGAACCGCCCTTCCCCGCCCCCGCGCATGCTCCGCTGGCTTCCTTCGCGAATGAGATTCCTAGGTCTCCAGCGAGGGGTGGCCTGGAGCCTGCGTGCCCTTCGCCCTGGGCTAGGGCGGTTCACAGAAAGGTCAAAAAGTGCCAAAGGAAGATTGTTCCCCCAAACACATGTATAGGACTCTTTCTGAACGCCCCAGAACTGTTGCCTTAGAAACAGAGAATTCAGATTTGCACACCAGTTTGCATAACTACCTGCAAATTATTGATTTAACGCAGATAAATGGACCCCAGATTTTGCTTCTTTCCTCATCAGTGTCGGCGTCATGTTCTCCGCTTCCCCTAAACCAGCCCTGGATTTCCACGTGTACAGACCCCGTTTCCTTTTCTGGTGTAGTGCAGTGATTTGGGAGGGAGGGGCTCAGTTCAAGGTTGTGGCCAGTTCCGCTGCTCTGTGGAAGTCACTTTGGCCTTGTCTGATGACCACGCTGGTGAGCCAATGTCATCTGGGTGGAGAATGCGGAACCTGGGGGAGGGGCGAGCACAGTGAGCCTCAGAGTTGGACTCTGAGGAAAGAGCAGAAGGCAGCTGCAATCCTATTGGACACTCACAGGAGCGTGTATTTGGGTATTTGGGCTAAGGTGTATTTGGGACACAGGGTGGCAGTCAGTCTGCTTCCTGGGACCGATGTGCTGAGAGACCATCATCTCTGAATCATCCTTAAGTCCAGATGGAGTGGCTTGAGAACTATGTGTACTGTGCCCTCCTCAACAACAACAACGCGTCATCCACAGAATGTGCTCAGGCCCAGGACTGGTCTCCTTTGTTCTCTGTCCAGACACTGCATTGTAAGGAATTCCCTCTGGAGAGCTGGGACTATCTCATTTTACTCACCACCAGATCCCCATAGTCTGTAATAGTGCCTGGCAGGTGGCAGGTGCTTAAAACATCGTTGAATGAATGAGTTTTGTAGATAAAAATGTCTTCTCACCAATAGGAGCTCCTCTGTACTAAATTGGAAATTTAAACAAATATCGATTTGGTCTCCGAGCCTTCACTTCCTCCTGCCATGCCAGTCCTGCTGGGACAGGTTGATTTATGACAGTAGTCCTCTGACTTTAGTGTGTGTCAGAATCACCTGGGGCTTGGTAAAACAGCCAGCTGGCCTTTGTCCCCAGAGTTTCTGATTCAGCAGGTCTGAGATAGGGCCTGAGAATTTGAATTTTAACAAATTGCTGATGGTCTGGGACCCCAGTTTGAGGACAAATGGCTTACAAGGTCTGGAGGAACTGCTGCAGGCCTGCCTTACTTCTGGCTCTGCTAAGCAGATGTTGGGGATCTAGGATTAGACACCAGGATTCCAGGTTCTCAATATCACATTCCCCTTCTGTTTAACATACATGAACAGCTTCCCATTGTCCCTAGTGTGAAGACTAAGGACCTGAATCAGTGCCGCAAACCCTTGTGTGCTGTGGCCCCTGCTCTGTAGCCCCAGGTCTTTCTGATTGAGTTTGAGATTTAACTGGTTTTTCTCCTGTTCCTGCCACAGGGCCTTTGTCCGTGCTATGCTTTTTTTCTGTGCCAGGCTTCTCCCCTCCTATTTTGAATAGTTAACCCTTAGCTGATCTTTGCTCGAGTGTTACTTTCTCTGGCAAGTTTTCTTAACTTCCCCCAAAAGTCATATGCTGCCTCCCCCATTATGTGCTTTACCAGGACCTTATATTTCTATCTTTAACAGTTGGCATTGGAGTTGTAATTGAACACATATAGCTTCATGATTATTCGGTGAATGTCCATTTTCTGTACTATACTTTTAGCTCTGTGAAGGTGGAAATCTTATCTGTTTGCCCAGCAGGGGTACACTGGTTCTCTTTCGGTCCTTGGCATGATCGTTGCCACTGGGTACCTATTTTGGTGTAATGGAATAAGCTTTGTCTCCTCGGATATGCATGACACTGCTTTGCTTCTCCATTTCCTTTGCAGGTCCGAGTTGATGTCCATTTCTGTGGAGTTAACTTTGCTGACATTTTGGTCTGCCGTGGTCAGTATCAGGAAAGGCCCCACCTTCCCTTCACTCCTGGTGAGTATTGGCAGTCTAGTGACTGCTTCAGGAAAAGAGGGTACAGAGAGTTTTCTGAACCGTGCACCTCATCTCGGGCACTACCTGGTGGTGTTTGCCTGCTGTCCGTGATGTTTCACTTAGATGTGTCGGTCCCTGTTCATTAGAATCATTAGATTGTGAGCCCCCGAGGCCGGCTCCATGTCTGTCTTGCTCAACATTATATCCCTCTGCTTAGCACTGTAGTTGGCTCATGATAGATGCTCAGTTAGATGCTTTAAGGGTGAACAAAGGAATCTTCACAGGTCAGTATGTTCATCAGAATTCTGGTTCATCAGAATCACCATGGGCCCTAGTCATGCCCTTTCCTTTTCTGATATTGCCTTCATTTTTTTTTTTTACAAGAATCACAAGCATCTGTCTGCAGCTAAAATCCTCAGCCTCACACATACATTCCCAAAGAAACCTAATGCTAGAGGATCAGAGAGAAGAAAAAGAGTTTATACATTTCTGAGCAGCCTACTTTCTGATTTTCATTATGCCCAGTGTGACGACTCTTAGATCGTGAATATGTGGACAAGTTTCTGATTTTTGTTGTTGAGATTTATTTAAAGAGAGATCAGTATAGCTTAGCATGTATACAGTATGTGTGTGTGTGTGTGTGTGTGTGTGTGTGTAATACGGATACAGTGATCGCAAAATAGATGCTGTGTTTTGGCCTTAGGGTATTTGGTTACATTTCAAGAGTTAGAACCATTTCTTTCTGTTTGTATTTGCTGAAATGTTGTATGTAGGAAAGATGTCATACCCAATTGAGTTACTCCCTGTCAGCTCAACTAGAAAATGTATGATCATTAAATTCAGAAATTTTGGGGTAGAAGTGGAAAGGGCAGACAGCACCAGTTCATCCAATTGAGCCAAGTACTACCTGAAAAAACAGTTTCACATCCTCGAGGTCCTCACCGTCCAGCAAAAGGTTCAGGGAAACAGGTGAACGCAATCTGACGAGTACAATAATTGGGTGCTGTCGGGGCCTGAGGCCTCAGGGATCGGGGTTTCCACTACCCACGGCCCTGTGATTCTCTGTGCTTTTGCACATTATTGAGCTTTCATTTGTGGTGCAGTAAGAATGGGACGGCTACCGCTTTTCATGTTGTATGTGTGAAATTTGTGCTCCCTTTCCTGAGTTTGGGGTCCAACACTCTTACCTGTTTGCTCAGGCTGGGGAAAGGGAAGAGGCACCTAAACCCTCTCCGCTCCAATAAGCTGGTGAGCTGGCCCGTTGACCAGGGTTTTCTCATCTCTGTGGTGCTGAGTTGTACAAATAACCTTATCTTTCAACGATATGTTTTTAGGAATGGAGTTTTCTGGGACGGTATTGGAGACAGGCACAGATGTCACCCGAGTGAAAGAGGTAAATTATTTGAAATCTAGGAAATCATTGTGCATTTAGCTACAAGAAATGTGCTGGCCTCATCTGTAGCCAAGGAGTGTTGTTTCTGCTGACCTTTGTCAGCAGACAGCAGAGGGAAATAGGGAACAGGAGAAGCTAATTCTGAACTGGGGGAAGGAAGCTGATGGAAGTTCCTGGCTTCCATAAACTTTTTTTTTTTAAGTTTATCTATTTATTTCTTCTACGAGAGAGATAGAATATCCCCCCAGAGGGTTCTTTTATTTATTATTATTGTTTCTTAACTTGACCAGAAGGAGAGAGAGAGAAAGAGAGAGAGAAGGAAAGTGGAAAAGCTAGCTACCAGATCTGGAACTCCAACCGTGGTTGGCTGTGTGGGAGTCCAATCTGGAACTCCAACCGCGGTTGGCTGTGTGGGAGTCCAGTGCCTTAACCACAGTTCCACTTGTTGATCCCAATACCCAGAGGGTTTCTGATGCAGTCATCCACCCCCTCTCCCCATTTTTCAACCAGCCCCAGATCATGGGCACCATGTGTGCCTAGCATACTCAGGGAAGTCGCTAGCCTTGAATGGGAACCTTCCCAGGTGGGATCACCTCACTAAGTGTGGCATTTACCACTGCACAGCTGTCTCCCCCCATTAAACTTTTTTTTTTTTTTTTAAAGAGAGATTTTTGTTATAAGGCACGTGTGCTTGCCAGAGAGACAGAGAGACAGAAAGCGAGAAATCACTCCCCAAAGGGGATGGCCACACCACAATCTATTTTCCTCCATTCTGGGATTTTGAGTGTGTATGCCCACGCACCCTGCATGAGTTTAAACTGCTGGGTCCAGGAGTGGAACTGCGGTTGACTATGTGGAAGTTCAGTGACATAATCATTATGCCATCTGCTGGTCCCATGCTTTTTATTATGAATAAGAGATAGCAGGTGGGATCGGCAGGTGGTGTGATGGCTAAGGTGTTGGACTCTTACGTGAGTGACCATGGTTTGAGTCCCAAACTTGGCCAGCTTACTTTCTCACTTTCTCTGTGTCTCTCTCTCATCAAATTAAAAAAATAATAATAACAATAATAAAATTAAATAAATAAATCTTTTAAAAAGAGAGAGAGACAGTACCTTGGTTTTTAGTTACTAAGAAGACTGAGAGAATTCTCAGGTTTGAGCCCTGTGCGAGGGGAATTAACCCTGGGATTCTAATTCTTATCAACCTTTCGCACACTACATCCCATAATTCTCTCAAATGTGCTCAGATCAGCTTGGCAACCTGGTGGGGGTACTGAGACAATTGTTGATTTATTGACTAAACATGAACTCTGAGTCAGTAACTAAGGTTCAATTTGTGTCTGAGATGTGCATTTATTTTATTTTATTTTTCTGATTAATTCAAGAAGATGTAAATCCAGGGCCATGCATTTGAACAGATCCTTAATGCTGTTTCCCTTCAGGGAGATCGAGTTATTGGTGTGAATGCCTTTAATGGTATGGCTGAAGAATGCATCACTGACCAGAAGGTATTCCCACCTCTTGGTATTACTGCTAGGAGGTCTTTATTCTCCTTCAGTTTCTTTAATTTCTACATACCCTTCATTCCTTCCCTCTCCCCCTTTTCTTCATATTTGTTTGGTCAGATCTTTCTCAGCCAAGAACCAGCCTCCCCAAATTCTAACCCCTTTTTCACTAGTGTGACAACCCTAGTACAGAGCTTTGTATGGACTATTTTAATGAAGAGGTCATTTTATTTTCTGAAGTCCCTGAGCAACTGATTGGCTATCTAGTTGGACCACAGTTTCGTGGTTTTGGTAGAAAAACTGGTTTAGGGTATTGAGCTAGATGTAATGGACTTCTCCCCCTCACAGAGCTTATGAAAGAGATAGCTTTGGGAATGGAGCCAGCCAGAGTGGGGTGGTGCGGTTGTGCAGGATGTGAAGGCTGGTGTCCCCTAGTGGTGAACAGCACACAGTTTTCCTCCCATAGCTTTGTCGAGGTAAAATTTACGTATCTTATGATCCTGAGGCTTTCTATCCTCCATAAGTTGCCTCCTTCCTGAGCCAGATGCCAGTCGTAGGATTGTAAAATCTGATGTACCAAAGGCCTGAACTCTGTCCCGGCTTGGTTGGGCTTGAATGCCACTGAGTGTGTTTCTCTTTGGAAATCAGTCAGTCAAGTCATGCTTACCAAGCAACTTTTCTGAGCAGGTAAGTGTGCTTAATCCTGAAGTCACTGTTATCTCTTTTTATAGACACTGTGGCAGGTTCCAGAAAAGGTCTCCTTACAAGAAGCTGCTGCCCTTCCTGTATCATATGGCACTGCAATTTTGGCTTTAGAGCATCGTGCCTGTACCCAGCCTGGGTAAGAACTGTGTAGATAAAAGGACTGGATGGGACCCTTCTGGGACATCAGAAGTGCACAGTGAGACTTGCTCTCCTCTTCCCTTCCCTTCCCTTCCACTCATGTTTGTTTTGGCCAAGGAAAGTTCAAAGGGAACTAGCCACTTGAGACTCAAGTCCGGTGACTATGGGGAGTGGGTCCTTTGTCTGAGAGAGAATGGTTGACTAAACTTGGCCAATATGAATTTGGGAAATTTTCTGTCTCAAGTCTGACCGCTGTGAGGACCACATCATCTTAAACCTTCAAGTTTAGAGAGTTGGTTCATTTAAACTCACTTCACTATGAATTTAATGGAGGCCTATGGTATTTGTTTCTGTGAGGCTTGGTTGGTTATGCCAAGTATTTCAAACTTAGTAGGGCTAAGATTTTCACTTTTCCTGGAGCATACATACTGCCCATTGCTCTTTTAGAGAGCTGAGCCTCTGACTTGATCCAGAGAGGTGGGTTTATCTGAACAGTAGCCATTATGTGATCGCCACCTTCCAACACTGGGCAGTATTTAGTATAAGAATGATTTTAGGGCATAATTTCTGAAGCAGAAATTGGAGTGGTAACTCAAAGGAAGGATTGTCACTGATCTGAGGGAGAGGCAACCCAGAGAGATTAAGGCATCCCTTTTCCTGTAAAGTCTTCAAAACTGGCCACATTAGCACAGATCTAGAAGTCGCATATATAACCCAGCTCTAATGGCTGGAGAACAGATGTACATGAAGGGCTGAATGAAATGACCTCTAACGTTCTTGCTTGAAAATGTTCCAATTCCAAAATGTTTGTGAAATGACATTACTGGATGTGTTTGAAGGTTTCTGAAGTAATGTATGTCTTTCTCTGGCACAGAGAAACTGTGTTAGTGACAGCAGCAGCAGGCGCCACAGGCCTAGCCGTGATAGACGTGGCAACAAATGTTCTTCAGGCCAAGGTATTTGTGTGTTAGAGTCATCACTTAAGAAACTCTGTCTGAGGCCCGCAGGTGGCATAGTGGTTAAGGTGCTGGACTCCCACATGGCTGACCATGATTCGAGTCCCTGACCTGGCAACTTGCTTTCTCGCTTTCCCTCTCTGGTTAAGTTATAAAATAGTAATAATAAATAAAATAAAATAAAATAATTTAAAAAAAAGAGAGAAACTCTCCCTCCAGTTTCTGAACATGGGATATATTTGTTCCTTTATTACAAATCAGTCCAAGGTGTTGGGCTTACAAAGTTGCCTGGAGTGGGATGTCGCCCTCTGTTTATAGATGTGGGAGGCACCTGGAAGCAGATCACTCATCCTTCTGGTTATCAGGACTTGGTCGGGTCTGACTTACCCCATGGCCCCTGCAGGTGCTATTTTCTCCACCCGCTGAGGTGTCTCCCCCTGCCCTTCAGATGTGAACTCATGTCACTTTTGTAGGGAAGTTTTCTTTGTCTTGCAGGCTAATCAGTCCCCTCATATTGGTACGTGATCTCATAGCCCCTGTACTTCTCTTCCCTACTCACAGCTCAGCATGTGGTTTCTCCTTTGCTTGTGTTTATCTTTGGATTAATGTCTGCTGACCTCCAGTTCCCATGAAGGCAGGAATGTGTCTATTTTGTTCATTACTGTAGTCCTAGCACCTAGCATAGTGCTACAATGTAGTAGGCACTCAAGAACTATTTCTAGGGACCAGCAGTTAGCATAATGGCTATGTCCCTGGACTCCCATGTAGTTGACCGTGCTTCGAGTCCCAGACTCGGTGGCTTAAACTCATGCCAGGCACCTGTGCGTGTGTGCCCAAGATCCTGAGAGGAGAATGGAGAAGGGATTTTGGTGTGGCCATCCCCCCTGGGGGGTGATTTCTCGCTTTCTTTCTCTCTTTCTGGTGAGCACATGTAGCCCTATAGCAAAAACCTCAAGAGAAATAAAAAGAACTATTTCTGGAATGAATGAATGAATGAGTAACAGAATGAAAGAAAGATCAAATCTCTACTGAGGTGTTTCTCTGAGTCTGGGTGTCAGAAAAGGACATCTTGGTGGAAGTGGACATTGACACTGTCCTTTGAAGGACTGGTAGCAGTTGAAGAGAGGAAGAAGGAAAGTGAAGGCCATTTTAGTTATGGGAGAACACATGAGGGGACTTCAAAAAGTTTGGAAAAATGGAATTAAAGTTTGAGTTTATTTTGGTGGAAAAATATTTCAGAATATGCATAGTTTTTTTTCATAATATGAATTTTTGTGAACATTTTAAAGACCCTCATGCTGGAAGATAGAGAAATAGGAACTAGTATGATGTATTAGGGAATTAAAAATAGCATCTCTTGAGACAAGGACGTGCGGGAGGGAGTACTGGAAGATAACGTGACAGGATTGGGCAGAGATCATGAGGTGTCCTATATGGGGCTGAAGAATTTGAGCATTTATTGAGAGCTATTGGGAACTGTTGATGATTTAAGAAAACTAGGGACTTGACATGATCATCTTTGCATTTTTTTTTTTTTTGAAGAGGTATTGCTATAGGGCGCGTGCGCTCTCCAGACAGACAGAAAGAGACAGAGAGACAGGCAGAAAGCGAGAAATCACCCCCCAGGGGGATGGCCACGCTGTGATCTCTTCTCCTCCGTTCTCCTCTCGGGATCTTGGACATGCACGCACATGTGCCCGGTGTGAGTTTTAAGCCACCTGGTCCAGGACGCGAACCGTGGTCGACTACGTGGGAGTCCAGCGACATAGCCATTACACCAACTGCTGGTCCCCAACTTTGCATTTTGAAAAGTTCACTCTGGTAACCCAGGGGATGAGGGATAGGGCAATGTCAGGCTGGTCTGGAGACACTAGGGCAGGCTCTTGGAGCCATTTAAGCCAGAGAGGATGATAACTGCACGAAGGCAGTGGAAGTGATGCATTGAGAGTTACTAAAGTGGGAAAGAAAAGGGTGTTTGCTGCCTAGAGAGCATCCTTGTACAGCCAAAGATACAAGAATGTTAAAATAGCTTCCATCTTCACCTGCAACTCGACAGCATCCATTTCCTCATTTGTAAAATAACATTTTCTTCAGAGAGTTGTTGTGAGGCTATGGAAATTGCACATGAAATGCACTGACGAGAGGGCATGGCATGTCAGTCAGAATCTCTTAAAAAAGAATTCTGTTATTATTAGACATTGAGTGGGAAGAAACAAATGTCCAGCTTGTGGAACTGCTGTTTATTGAGACGGAGAACACAGGAGGGAATGGGGAGTTTGGGATGTGTTGAGTGGAGGTTCCTGTCAGTGTGCCACTGGGATAACCAAGGCCGCCACATGCACAGGTGTGGAGATAATTGGACGGGCCCGGAATTTCTTTAGGTGGCGTCTCGCCTTTCCCACATGAAGTTCCCTTTGGGAAGGACTTGTGAGTTCTGCAAACAGTCTTAGATACCAGGAGGCTCCCTCTGGAATATTAATACATTTCTTGTTAAAAGGGTAAGCCTTTATCTCTTCTTAAAGGGAGCAACCATAATTGGTTTCATTGTCTAGAACCATTGACTATTTAAGGCTATTTAACATTTTTAGGAAGATAAAATCCTGCCATTTCTTTTAAATAGTTATAACAGGTTCAAGAGAAAAATTTGCTTCGATTGAGATACTAAAATAACCCTAAACTGTATTTTCTTTAACACCAATCATGGTTTTAAACAAAAGCAAACAAAAACGAACATAATGTCCATGCCACCTACCTGGAGCAGGTCATTTTGGCAACACCTTCCATTCACAGCACCTCATGTGACTCCATAGTGATGATCTTACCCCGAGTCCTCCCAGAACCCCTGTGAGGTGGGTAACGAAAATGTTTATTATCCCAATTTCACAGATCAAGAAAGTGAGTTACCCAGAGAGGAAACAATTCACTTCCACTGTCCTTGAGACCTAGTTAGAATCCCAGGATTGTTGGGGAGAGCAGGTGATGTGTTGGCTAAGGTGCTGGACTCCCACATGGCTGACCATGGTTTGAATCCTGGATGAGGAGGCTTGCTTTCTCAATCTTTTTCTGTCTTTCTCTGATGAGTACAAATAAAAAAAATTATAATAAATAAGGTAAAATAAATAATTAAAAAGAAAAGAAAAGATAAAGAATCCCAGGGTTGAAATTGGGTGCTTAAGCCCAGTCTGGTTTCTGCCTGCCGTGGCACTATGTGCAACCCTCTGTGCACTGCAGCTAGTTGAAGGGTCCACCAGGGAATATTTGGAGGTAGCTTCCAATTTCAAAGAGTTATGGGTGAGTTTGGAATCCTTTAAAGGCACCGATGGCCTTGGGGTGTTTTGAGAGTGAGCTTTGAGCATCTCTTTGGGGCCAAACCGCTGGGGCTGGTGGGTGCTGCCCCATGATGAGGCAGCTCTAGTGTGCTTGAGTAGTTGAGCTGTTCTGGAGATTTCCAGACCCCTGACTTCCCCACAGAATGGGCCAAAGCCATCTCTGCCATCTGGGCCTGGCATTTGGCTTGCTGTTCTGGGATGATGGAATATTGGGCCTGGACCTTGGAGTAAGGCAACACTGGGGTTAGATAGTTGACCCTGATGACCCTGGTTTGATTGCCTAGCTACTCCAAGTCTGTGTCTCCATCTGTAGCATTGATGTAATTCCACCTCCCCTGTAATGGTCTTAGGAGATTTTCTGTTTTTTTTTTTTTTTTTTCTTTTCCAGAGAGATTTTTGCTATAGGGTATATGTGTTGACTGGAGAGAGAGAGACAAAAAGTGAAAAATCACACCTCCCTCCGCCCCCACCCAGGAGGAAGGCCATTTTGTAATCTACTCTCTTCTTCTTCTTTTTTTTTTAAAAAAAATTATTTATTTATTCTTTTTTTTTTTTTTTTTTTTTTTTTTTTTTTTTTTTTTTATGGGAAAAAGAAGGGGGGAG